TTGCAAGGCCTGGTTGTAACTCAAGTTGGCTGACTGAAGGCTCAAGCTCCTCTACACAGCCTTCAAAGTCTCTCTCCTGTAAACAGGCTGATCTCAGGGTCCTTGGAGAGACATTGGCTCAGGATTTCTCAATTAGCCCCCCACAGGAAAGGCTGTTGTAATTTTCCTTCCAGAGCTCCTCAAGGGTTAGAACTGTGTCTGACACCATCTGGAAGCACAAGGGGCCAGCCAACAGGTCGAAACTCAAGACTTTGGTCATAAATAAACTAAAATTTCAGTTGTAACCCAAGTCGTGTGTATTTCAGGTCAGTCATAACCCCAGGGTCTACTGTGCAAAATCAATCAAGCAATCAAAAAAATAGAAACAAAAAGTCAATTAAGATTCCATAATGAATGGAAGTCATGCCCTACCCTGATGCCTCTTCACTGCTGTAGCAAAAGTATACAGGCTGGTGGCCTCAAGTGAATGAAATGTCTTTCCTTGAGGTTCAAAATCAAGAGGTCTGCAGGGCCAGGGTTTCTTGAAGGAGCAGAATTCCTCCTTCCAGATTCCAGTGGTGCCCAGCTTTCTTTACCCTGCGGCTGCGCCTCTTTGCATCTGCCTTGTGTCTCCTTATGATTAGAGAAGGGTGAGCCATCACCCAGGGCGATCTCCTCCTAACTTGGGTATACAGAAGAATACATTCATGCGGTTAGGACTTGACCATGTCTTGCTGGGGGCACAGTCCTACCACTACACTGCTTTTTTATATCTGCTTTAGGATTGGCTAAAAGATGCTCCAACAGCGAATATAATCCAGCATCTCCAAAGTGTATTATGCAAAGGTTTGGTTTTTACATATAAAGTCAGCAGTGGGCCTGCTGCCCTCATCATGTGGCTTTGCCATAACAACAGGGGGCTCCCAGGTTACCAGGCAAGGGAGGAGGGGGCTCCAAAGGGTGCAAAGGGCCCTGAAGTCCATCTTATCTGTTCACCACATCCATTTTCACCATGCTGTCCTAGTCCTGGGCTATTTGCTACTGCCACGGCCACCACTCAGCTGGCCATGAACTCTCACCATCCTGCGGGGCTGCTTTTGTAGCTGATGCCATCTCTCAATGGGCACCAAGAACCCTCAGTTGGACACCAGTGCCCTCGCAATGCCAAAACTACTGAGGTCAGGAAGAGGTGCAGTCGAAGCCACCTGTTGTGTGCCACAGGAGCCTCATGTCTTAGAACAAATTTTTGGAGGTTAAAACTCAGGCTGGGCAAGTGATGTAAATGAGCAAAACTGAGAGAAGCGAGTCAGGTGGAGGCAATAGAGAATGGCAAGGACTGTGACAAGCCAAAGCCCACTCGTGAGAGGGGCACTCACCACTGAGCCTCAGCGGATGGCTGCCTTATGGAAATTGGCATTCCATGTCGCCAGATTTGGGGGAATTTTTAAAAGCAAACCAGAAAGTCTGATTTTTACATAGTTTTCCAAATTTCAAAATGCTGTTCAGGCTGGATTCAGCCCACAGGCCACGAGTTTTCAAACCCCACTGTAGTGAGACAACTTTTTCCATTTTCACTCCCTACTCTCTGCTCTCCAACTTGGCTCTCTGACTATCCACAGGACCTGGACACAAGCCAAACAGGGGGCTAGGCCAAGAGGCAACCCCCTCCCCAGCTGACCCCAGCTGGGCCCTCCCCAAACAGCTGAGCCTTCTGGCTGGGACAGGCCAGCTCAGCCCTGCTCCCTCTGGCCGGCCAGGTCCCTCCCAGAGGCTCCTCTGGGGCTGCCTCTGGCAGCCAGCAGGGCAGCCCCGCAGGCAAGGCTGAGAGGAGCTGCAGAGGACTTGGGGCAGGCAGGACTCTTCCCCAGGACCTCGTGCTCTCCCATAACAGATCACGGCTGACCCTTCTGGCCCACGACCTCACCCTTCAAAGATGTCCCCGCCGAGAGGGACCCTTCTCCTCCGAAGCCAAGCTGATCCTTGTGGACCCCTCCAACCATCTCGTCCAAGTTTTCAGGCAGAAGCAATGCCCTTCTCCAGTGCATCTTGCTGGAAGCATCGCCCCACCCAGGGCCTCTGCCCCTTCAATTCTGGGATGGGTTAAGAAGTCACTTCCTCCAGGAAGACTCCTCTGCCTGCCTATGACACTTCAGGGCTCGAGGTCAAGAACTCCTACAGCCTGCTCGGGTTCCTCCACAGCATTTCACTTACTTGTCTTTTCTCAGAGAAGGAGGGGACATTCCTCGGGGACAAGGACTCTCTGTGAGTGCTGTGCTCACCATAGTGCCCTCAGCATCTATAGCAGCAAGGCCTGGTGTCAAGCAGACACTTAAGAGATTTGCAGAAGGAAATAAGGAAGGGAAGAAAAGAAGGATGGAGGGAAGAGAGGAGGAAGGGAAACAAGGAGCTAGTAGGCCTCTCCGCTTTATGTTTCCACCCCTCTCTTTCCTTTTCTGTTCCTCTCACCTTCCTAACTCCATCTCTGACCACTATCAGTGCTTCTGACAGTGACTCTGACCACCCCAACATGACCGTGACACATGGCCCAGGGTGCAGGGTGTCCTGATCCCTGGCAAACCGTCCGATGTCAGGATATCAAGGGCCTAAAATGATAGATCTCACCAGAGGTTTCAGTACCTGAAACCTTTGTGCCTGGTTTGGGGGGTGAGGCGGGGGAGGTGGCACTGATGGTGAATACAACACGTAGGCCCGAAGCACCTGGAGGGGAAAAGAGGTAGAGAAAGAAAACAGGAGAAAAGAGGGCGGCG